AGGAGAGCTTTCAATAGGATCACTACCAAAAGCGCCAATTGCAATTTTAAATTCTGAATTTACAAGGATATCAGAACTAACAAACTGTCCATCATAATCTATATCTCCATTACAAGTAACAGCCAATGAACGATTTGATACAATTTTTGCAATACCAATATTTTTAGCAACAGCAATTGTTATAGGATCCCAAAGATAATAATGAGTAAAGAATGCAGAGTCCCCACCAGGCCATATTGAACGAATAGTAGACAAAAGTTTATGTATAAATATACCATAAAACCTTTTGAGTTTTGAGAGTTCATCGAAAAAACTAGTATTAAATGGTGTTTTACTTGTAAAATCTAATGGTACTAAAGTAATATCCAAATTAGAAGCAAGTAATTCTTGAGCAGCAACACAATCAAGAAAAACATTAAATTCTGCGCGAGTATTATTTGGTACGGTATATACATTTCCATGAACACTTAAAGCTCCACCCATCCAGAAAACTTTGCGAATTTTTTTAGTGTAAGTTGGAAATGCACGTAAAAAAGTTGCAATATTGGTAGCTGGACCAGTTAATATAATTGTGGGTTTTTTTCCAGTTTGTTTAATCGTAGAATCAATAAGAACAGCAAAGTTCTTAGTGATATCAAAACCTTTGGCAGCGTCATACCATATCCGTTTTGATAATTCAAGCTGTCTATTAAGGCCGTATAGTAAATCGTTTTCACGCTTTCCAAGATTACTTTCTGGGACCGCCTTTTGATAAGTGCAGCCTGGGGTACCTAAAGAACCTGGGTTATTGTCAGTTTCGTACAGGGAGTAATCAGCGCCAAGTATGACAGAATGGTTTTTTCCATGATAGATATCGTCCACAATATCAACGATGTTCTGGGCCGAAGCTATCAATAGATATTATTGTTATCTTGACTTAAAACGGCAATTTAAAGACACTATTAAAATACCTGCATGCGACCATCCATCGCCTTGGTAAGTAATACCACGTACATCAAATTCCTTAGATTTAAGCGCGTAAAGAATCGCAAGAAAATCGTTAATTGCACCATCTACATCAATAATCACTGGGGTTTTAGCTATTGAGAAATCAGTAAACATAAAAAGAACGTTAAAGATATAGTGTACGTTAATCTCCATTTTAAAATAATGTATTATTAATAATATTACTCTTGAATGTGAAGAGCAGAGTAAGCGTGAAGAACATAATATGCGTATATTTTTATTCAACATTAAATATATATTTTTGAATTATCTATTGAATATGCATAGGGGGCATTAGACTCTGAGATATTCATAGGTGAATCATATTAGAGATGGGTATTTTTGCCAAAATTGAAAATATAGTTTATTTGTTAAAAATCAGGGTGAATTATAAGATATTAATTATAAGATATTAAATAATTAAACTTTCAGTGTAACAATTATGGCAGGTTATAAACTATTACGAATAAAAAATTTCTTTAATACAATAGGCGATAACCTTTAATACTTTTTTTTTTTTTTAAAAAAAAAAAAATTGCATATTTTATTGTTTCCGATATATTGTATTTATTTATTTATTTATTTTCTTCTGTACAATATGCATTGAAAATGCGTTCCCTATCAGTGTCATGGACGAAGTAACATTTCCGAAAATAATACCAACCCGCGCCTCAAAAGACAAATTCTAAAGGCTTAAATGGCGTCAAGGCTTGTCACCCGAAAATTATTGAGAGAGATGAATCACTGAGGACAAAAAAACGTAAGAGGATAGTAAGCCTCTCTATTAGTCCGCTAAAGTTATTTAAAGGATAATGTGAATGAGATTGGTTACAACACTTAAGTGCGACGTACGTAGGGTGCACATAAGAATCTAACCTATGATAATTCCTTTGTTTTTATGACCGAATTACCATAGTCATGCCTCCAAGAAGTAAAGGGATAATCCGTCGGTTGTAAATCGTGCTTAGGATTTTCTTACGATTAACGATCCTGCCCGTTAAGGTTTAATGAATTTGACTCAATAATTTTTTATAATGACTTGATGCGATCTTTAAGATTGAAACGGTTTAAATCGTCTTTGATATGTTTTTAATTGGTTTAAAAAACTATTAAAACAACGGCAACTGATTCTAAAATTTGGATTACACAAGAAAGCATGACTTTTATTAATGAGCTTAGCACGAAAATTTGATCAAAATATGTAATATAGTATATTAAGTGAGTTATTTGGACGCGCATAGGCATTATTTTGAGTCAAAAAAGCAATTTTCAAAAAAATGAGAATTTCAAAATAATGCACATGTGAGTTATTATGTGCAAATACAGTAGCATGGTAGGGTTGGGCATGGGTAAAAAAAATAGGCATGCTTCAGCATGATTAGAGCATGCTCTTGTATAGGCAATGATAAACTATTAGCCAATTAAACTCGTCCAAAATTATTACTAAAATCTACAACCGACCAATCAAATATATATTAAGAAATGTGATAAATATTGCAAATGGTAATAAGCATTTTGAAAATTTTATTCATAATGCATATTATAAATTGCATTTGAGTTTTAAATTTTACATTTTTACATGTAAAGTTTAAGAGATGCTAGTACAAATTCTAAAATTTTAAATCACATTTGGGACACCCAAATACTAATCATTAGCTATAAAAGTACTATAGAATAATATTTAATTTTTAGCCAATTATTTTGGCTGCCCCTGTGCCTCAACCTTTACCGTATAACTGCGAAATAACACACAAAGTGTAATTTCAATTTTCGGCCTAAATTAAGCTTAATTCGGGCCAAAATTCAAAATTACGCCCCTGTGCATTATTCCACAGTTATATGGTAGTATAGAACAAGTTTTACATAAATGTAAAAACATTTTGTATAATCAAGACTTTTTTTATTGCCTTACAAAAGCAAGAACAAATTTACCATCAAAAGCAAGAGCAAGAGTATAGACTACATATATACAATACTTTTAAAATTTGTTATATAGCAAATTTCTTTTTTAGAGATTTTTTTGATTTTTCACTATAAATGGTTGTTGCAGTACCCATGTGACTTATAAGGCACGTGTCGATAGAATTCATGATTTGATTAATGCATAATCTATATCGGGTGGTCACGATTTAATTAAAATAATGACTGCATGAATCATTGACATGTGTATTATATAGTATAATATATAATTATATATATAATATATAAGTAGGAATTGAGGCACAGAGACATGGGCATGCCTTGGGGGCATGCCTATAGGCATGCCACTTGGCCATTAGGCATGCCCTAGTTATGTGAAATATGTG